GACAGCACCACTGATTTAATTCATGGTAAACAAGGGTCAGCTATTTTTCAGAAGAAAATGTGTTTTTTAATTTAAAATTAAATATTAGCATGAGATTATTTTTCAACTAAATGATATCTTTATTAGTTTTGCAAAGTTTTAAGTCTTCTTTTTCTTCAGACACTACATTCCTGGTGCAGCCTTTAAATCCTGTGGGGTAAACCTGCTCCCTTTGTCCTTCTCTTTCCACCTACCTCCGTCTCTCAGCTTAACGTCTGCAGAGACAAACAGGCCCAGGAAGCACTAAACAGCGTCCACTTACAGGATACAAGCACTAGTTGGTAATATGCAAGCAATCACTTGAATTAGCACAATTATAAATACACATTTAACAGCTTACACTGTTGCCCTTCATCATGTTAACTGACTACAACCAATAGAGTTCTCCGTTTAAATCATCATTGTAATTACCCTCATCATCAAATAGCTAACTAGAAGACCATCCGTTCATCAAATCCTCATCATCATCATGCATGGCTGGCCAGCTACAGATATCAAAATCCTCCACTCTGCAGCTCTATCAGCGAGGTGAGGCGAGGTGTGGGGCGGTACATTTTCAGGACTGGTAATGACTTAAGGGGGTCAGAAGGATATCAGGAGCTGGCATGATAAGTGATGACACCCACATGGGAACAAGCTTAATGACTTTCTCTGTGAAGGGATCTGGCTGGTTTTTACTGCAGTGAAACAGAAAGGTCCAGAACAGCCTGACTGCTCAAATCACCAGTCTTTTTTGGTACTTTAAAATCTCTGCATTGCAATCGAAGTGAAGCATCATCGAGCAATGAAGCAAAATGTTCCCCTCTCTCTAAAGGCTGACACACACTCACAGACTTAGAGCTGTTTGTCATAGCTAAAACACACAAAGGATATATTTTTACACCATTTCATTTCTTACTTTTTAAAGTTCTAAATGTATGAGACAAAGTAGACATAATGAAAGCCTTTGTTCTACCTTAATACTCTGGTTTCTTTCTGTTATTGTTGTTTATCAATCTCCTGTCTCAGACAGCTGAGTGCAGAGAGCCATTATTGATCCAAAACTCTGTTTTAATTTTTACCAAGAAGTCATTAAGATGTTCGATTGGATTCGTTTAACTTCAAAACACAGACCAATAACCAAGCAAATGTTAACCTTCCAGGGGGATCAAACGTATGTTCTGCTGAGGAAGTGTAGTTTATAAAAGTAAATTGTGATGGTGAGGAGGGGGGTTAAAAAGGATTCCGTTTCTCAGACAAAAAAAAACAAAAACATGACAACCCTCAAAACACCAGATGCCGGTATAGCACAACGTTTTTTACAGATCTATGGAAGTGTTCATGTTGTTCTCTCTGCCTCTTGACGCTGGCGAGAGGAGTTCAGACACTCACACACTTAAGCGTCTTTGGGTCTAGAAAAGCACTATATAAATCCCATTTATAATTATTATTATTACTCCTGTCTGGCAGTTGCTCAAGCGCTTACGTCTGAGTGGGGGCCCGATTTCATAGAGTCAGCACAGCAATGGCGACATCTGTGGCGTGCACGGGTATGTATTTTCACTGTTAAGCATTTCGTACTACCCAATGGCATACCCACAACCCACCTGGGCATTAAACACATACACAGGGAATAAAGTAGGCAGAGGAGACAGAGGCGCACATGAAAGACATGTCCCACAGCCTATCAGATGCCTGAAGGTCAACAGAAATGACATGCTGAGCCGTCAGTCAGCTTCCTATCAATGTGTGTGAGTGTGTGCTCTGGAAGACGCAGCCCCATAGATAGCGCTTAATTGAAGGTTGAAGTTATCAGATAGCCTGCGACTCAGCTGTCAGTCAAGATTCAGTAACCACGGTGACGCTTCACATCACTCTGCACCACTGACGACATCAGGAAATGGCTGACTGAAGAATGGTGAGGGAGTCACACGGGCAGACAGAATGAGAGACACACTAACAGACACATGTGGGGCACACAGGCAAGCACACACAGGCCAGAAGAGGGACACACTTAAGGGAATTAGAGCAGAGGCGTGCTGGCAAGGCATGTTATTTTGGTAGAATTGACACGCTGCCCTGCATCCAGACACCAGGAAAGTGTAATTATCTACCGGTAGAAACCAGAGCAGGGGACACGTAGGTGAAACAGAGAAAGCCCCATCGAGCAAGCGTGACCTCAGCATGAGGATGTGGCGGGTAAAGGTAAGTGGGAGTTATGTTTTAAAATTAAAGTGGAAACTGAGAGGCAGGAAAGGGGATGGCGGGTGTCCCGAAAGGACAAGGGGAGTGTGGAAAAAGGAAAAGATGGGGGGAAATAGTACGAATGATGACAAATCTTCCATGGCAGGCGAGTTGTTGCCAAGAACACAAAACAGAGGCTACAACCATCATTGGTCCGTGCTTTCTTGGAAGAACCCAGAATTGCATCAACGAGACACACAAACACACAGGCGCACACACATGCATTTGCCTTTTTGATAGGGGGAATCTGGGAAATCAGACAGAAATGTGAGAGGGAGAAAATATTCCCCAGTCTAATAATCAGCATTACAGTGTCCTCGCCTTCAAGCGGTGGGCAGCTGGGGATAGGAAGAGACATTTCTCTTTCCTTCGCATATCAGTAATTTCCCCTCTTGCTTTTCAAACTGATCCTACATCATCTCCGCTCTTACCCCACCACTAAATGATGCTATTCTTTATCCTCCTTGAAAACACTAACTGGGTATAAAGTAATGCAGCTCAGACTGAGTTTGTTTCTTACTCTACAACACAGCCGAACAACCGTCACGATGCGGGAAAAAAATGTGCGGTTAAAATGATGCAACGTGAAATGTTATTTCCTTTCCGTCTATGATACATCTGCAAAGGGCAGTTAGAGCAGCAGTGAAAGGATTCCCTGCATAACATAATACGTTATGCAGGGTCACATTGGTCAAATTCAGATGATATTGACTTGAAAAAGGGTCAATATAATTCTAAGTAACAAAATGTGCATGTAATTGTAGGTGGAATAACAGTTATTGCACATAAACCATGTTCCAAACAGCAGACCTGTGGATGATTTTCCCTGGTTCAAATCAACACGTTCATAGATAACAAAGAACTCCTCTTTACTGCAGACTTAACGAGCACACATGGTGAAAGGGGCGTGCATGTGTATACCAAAACAGAGTGGAACAATGTCCACGTTTTGCATCACTATGCGTTTTGCCTCTACTCGCACATCCTCGTGTACATACTAATGTGTGTATATATTAGTGTCTGTTAAGGTCATCAGTGAGTCATCTCGGCCACCAGGGGGAAGCCTAATTAATTAAGTAGCATTCCCGACACCTCGTAAACAAAATCCTGAGTTACAGCCCTGCTCTGCGCAGAGCAACATAGCCCGTAGAGCAAAGGGAACACAGAGGTCACCCGAGGATGCTGCACTTTTAATAGGCTTGTGTGTGTCAGAGTGTGTGCGAGTCGTTCCAGAAGTGTCTGCACAGCATCAGGTGGAACACACATTCACACAGACCTTCTGTCTCCTAGAACATTTAACAGGCCATATACAGGGTTAGCACAAAACCCACACACATCCCACAGGATCCTACAGCAAAACATGTAACGTTTTTACCTTAGGTGTTTAAATATGATGTTCAAGAGAATAAACCTACTTGGTAATAAAACCGATTCTGATTCTGATTAGGGGACAGCCCTAGGATCTGAGGTTGTGGCACCGGAGATGGAAGGGGCGGACTGTGTTGTGGTTGGTTGATTTAGCTTGAGTTCCGAGACTGGGCCTGGTCTTCGGCTGAGCTGGAGCTAAGCTGATCCAGACCGGTCCCTGGTGCCCTTTATCAATTCTGTCAGGGGGAAAATGCAAATCCACGCCTGGCTGAGCCCTGCCCCGCTCCACAGTGTCTCTTATCCTTAGTCACCTCCCTCCATTCATTTCCTCACTGCAAGCTGCTGGGATTACGTGGAGAAACGCTGCTCCTCAACACATGGAACAACCATTCAAGTGGATGCCAAAGATTACCATGAGGACAGGATGGTGGCCGACTGACCGTGGTTAAAACCTTGCACACACTCCATGGCTCTTCTTATAGACACACAAATCTGTCATTCCTCAGCTTTTATTGACTCGCTTCTTCAGAGTGGCCAGCGTCCTCCTCATGTCCTCCTCTAGCATGATCGCTCCATCCTGTACTTTTGTTTCCCAGTTTATTGTGTACATGTGTTTCTTTAAATCCCAGAAAAGAAATATATTCCGCCATTCTGAGAATCCAAAAGATTTATATTTCTTTCCAACTGAATATTTATGGAATTGCACTTTACTTTTCGTGACACTCATCCTCTCAATCCCCTCCTTATCTCCCTCTCAGGACTAATCTACCGCCGAGTGGGCCCATAAACACCCCAGCAGTCCATGTTTTTCTGAGACAAGGACCAAATGAGCTTCTGCCATCTGATATATCTTTAACAGGAGTCCATTAACAACTGGGTATACATGCTTTTTAGTCCAGCGACTGTTGTTTAACAAACTGACAAAAACAGTGGTGTTTCTCCCCCCCCCCTCATCAAAAATTAAAAGAGTAATAAGGAGTGGAAAGAAGACAGAACTATGGATGGATTGCGCTGAGATTCAAGGAAGATTGTCAAATATAAAGAAGAAAAATATGTCAGCGCTGAGATTGCTCAACTATCGGCAGCTGTTATTCCAGTGATGACACCGCACAAAGATGCATTGCCAAAGACCAGAAGAATAACTACATGTGTTCACAAATTACACATTTTTAAATATTTACAGCTGCTGGTTTAGCTGTTGGTACAAACAGAACAAATATCTGGTTTTCTTTTAACACTCAATACAGACACAGTATTAGATGTATTTGATCCGCCTCATAAGTTCTAAAACAACAAGAGAAATGCAGAGCTATAACTGAGACTTGCATACGGCAGCAATAGATTGTGATGTGTGTACAGCAACGACTTACGTCAGGGTACTCTTTGACGGGCACAAACAGTTTTTCCTGCTGGTGGACGATGGGTCCGAGGGGCTCGGGCAGCTCCATAGGATGTCTTTCCACAAGGCCATTCACTGTGTCGCTGTACATGTCTTTGCGCACTCTGTTGATCTCTGAAACACACAAAACATACATACACTGTGGTAAGCAACAGAGAAAAGAAAAAACAGCACAATCAAACATTTTCTTTTTTCTTGAGGTTTTGATATATCACTGTCAAATTGATTTTGACTTCTGGGCAAAGGCTTAATGTAGCATATACATCTCTGTTGTAAGAAAAGAAAGAGAAACAGCAGAAATGTGCCAAGTGCCTTGAGTATTGTTTGTCTTTTATAGATGAACAATTGTGAGCATATTTTGGAGAGTACTTCATAAATAAATACCCTAGCCAGCAACTGTAGAAAAGAAAGACTGCTTTATACCTGGATAGAACAAATGTTCCACTAAAAACGGAGAATCTGTGTTTGTGATCAACTTATTCTATATGGCAGAGATAAAGTTAAGCACTGCATTATGGGAGGTTGAGGCCACCGTCTATTTTCTCTGCCTGCTTTTCCCCTGTGGCTGTTCTATAATAGAGCAGCCTGTGTGAGCAGCAGGGCAGGTGTGGAGAAGAGACGCAGAGAAGCGTTCAGGTATATGCCTTCAGATCTGATCCCTCTGTCAGATGAAACTAATGGACCTCTCTCTTACTCTCTCACACACTGCCAACAGAGACTCAAACCCTCACACACACTCACCACCAATTCACACATATCCCAATTTGACTGCCTCCGTAGCTTACATGAATTCACACTGCAGAGGAATGCTGTGCAGTGCAGGTTGACAAGGAGGCACTTATTCTTCCTGCTCATCGTGTGCGAGTGTGTCAGTGTTGGATCAGAATTGACGTTTGTGGCTGTAACACTCGTTAATAGAGGACACGCACTGATCAGGCACACTTTCTAACTTCCCAAAGGTGTCATCACTATATGTCTGTCATGCTATTGCTGAACCCAAGAAATAAAACGGCAGTGAAAAGAGAAATGTGATTTAAAAAAACAGTCATCTGCGGAGAAGAGTCTTTTTTTGTGAAACGGCTGCCACAGATAAAACAAAGTGGCACGGCTGGTGAGGCCTCAAGGATTGGTGAGTGTGAGGTGGAGTGAGGGCGGGTGTTAGGAGATTTCTAGCAGCTATATTAAACTCCAGCTGGGTTACCTGACACTCGACTTTAGATGCCCTCGGTAAAGCCTGCCTGACCTCTAAGCTTTGAAGCTAAAGTGGAAGGTGGGTCCAAGCTCTATAATTAGGTTTTTGTTTAGTCTTTGTCTCGTTTAAAAATCGTCCACTTTTACAAACAAAAAAGAGCTAAATATAAAACACTGGAAAATAAATGTGGAAGTATCCATGGAGTCAGCTTTTGGGGATTTACTGAGCTGAAGACGTGTTTACTCTGTCGAAAGACAGAAGAATAATGTGTGATCGATGGGCTCATGGACTCTGACAAGCATACACACAAACATCTGGTCTGCAGCTGTGTGGAAAACACCTGCGGGACACATCCAAAGTGTTCAAACAGGCCAGGAGACTCGGCCCAGAGTTACTCCTTCCCAAATAACATGACCTCAGCACTCTGTGGTCCTCACAGATACTCCCAGTGGTCCCTAAAGATGAATTCACCCTCATGGTATCCAGCCCAGAAGACAGATTACATCAGTCCTCCTAACCAATGCCAGCGGTTTCAGGCCACATTCAAGGCTTTTTGTACAAGCAGAGGGGCTTGGCCGTGACACATCATACAGGGAGGACATCAGGACATAACATGGCAGTAATGGGAGAGGGAAAAACAGGACAGTAAACTATACATTATTGTGAGACCAAAAGAAGTCCATAAAACATAAACATGATGGCCCAGTGGTTAAGGAGACCGTTAACCACAAGGTCAGAAGTGTAATCTCTGTTACTCCGTGATGGATGATATGCAAATGTATCCACAGCCTAATCACTCATAGTTAGTATTTCTAGAAAAGATGATCAGTACTAAATGGCATTCTATCAAAATTAAATGAAGACGTTATAATAAATCGTAGTACCTTACTTGCTGTAGCAATTAATAAACACAGAGGAGCCATTTAACAGACCACTGGTGGGCTAAGTATGTGTGTAGGAGCCATCAATGACGAGTAAAGAGGAGCCAATTTTCTGTGGGTTACAAAATCACTTCTTTTCACCAGACAGCAAACATAATGTGTGCTATTTGCAAACTCCAATGCAACTCAAAACAGCCACCCTTCAGATAACAAGAGAAAGTAAAAGTGTGAACATGTGACATTGTTCCACAACAACCCCCCCCCCCTCCTCTAATTCTATTTCCTCTGGATGAAATGCCACATTAACATAAGGGGGCCGTGCTGGGCCATCGGTGGAGATGTGCAGCATTTGACAACCTCTAATTTCAGCGGGGCAAGTCTATTCTGAAGCGCTGCGCTCATCTAAAAATTACCCCCTGCCTTGAATTGACGACAAAATCATTTGTGTAGCTGTCCACCCCGGCAGAAAAGGCTTTTGTAAGAAAGACAACAGATCACCATCTTGCAAAGAAAAGGCAAAAAGAGGAAGACAATCCGAGAGTAAGAGAAGGGTAGGCTATCAAAAGTGAGATTTGTTCTTGAACTTTGGCATTGTACGGGTTTAACAGCTATATGAGGGGAGCTAACAGACCCCCGCCACCACTTTACTCCCCTTCAGCCGTCTCTCAGCTCAGTGTGTCATCCTCAACCTGACTCAGCAGACACACACACACACACCGCACTCTGTAAGAGCTGTCTATTTACCTATGGGGGCTGGCTGAACACACACACATACACACTCGGGAAGAGATTAGAATATCTCTGTTTAGAGTTTCACCCAGACATCTGTCAGTGAGAAACAAGAATCAACCTTGAGAAGTTGGAGGGCAGAGTGGAGGAAGGTTTGATGAGGCAGAGACGGGGGAAAAGGGAGAATTATAACAGTGCTGAGCAAGCAGAGCACAGTTGTACTTGACTGACACCGAGCCTCCATGTAAGTTGAAACATATATTTCAGTTTATCTTTTTGCTCAATGTCTACCCTTTTTTTCAAACCTGCAGTGGAAATAGGACATTTCACAGGCAGATCTATATGCCCTCTGAAAGCTGAAGAAAGGAGACGATAACTCCTAATCTCTTTGGTGATCAAAGTGAAGGGGAATATCCTAAAGGAAGTTAATAGGAGAGGGCAATGGCAGTAGGTCGATAGACAGGAATTCAAGTGTAGTCTGAAAAGTTACATTTAAAAGTTCATTATTGACCTTGATAAACCTATAATATGTAATATAAACCGCCACCTGTTACCACGTGACACAAGTTTAATACTTTGCTTCAATGATGACAGCTGAGCCATTTTCACCAACAGCAAATCTTATCTGCTAAGAAAGATTGTAAAATAAAAGGTTGTAAAGTAACAGTAAGCATATTTGTCCTATGATAATGGTTCAATGAATACCAAGCCATTACTTTATGGCTACTAGATAGTCCTCAATATATGCCCATCATTAAACACTCTAGGTTTTAAGCAGTTAATAGTCTGTAGAATACAATCTCGATGTAATCAAGACACTGATGAGGTAAACATGGCTAAATTCTTAGAATTGCAAAAAGGAATTTACTGATGAGCAAAATGGAGTATGTCGACATCATGCAATGATGCTTAAGAGCAGCACGCCAAGCAAATCATCTGCACAATTAGTGCTTTTGCGTAACTCCCACCATTCGCGATTGGTTCTTCACCGGGCAGACTACATGTGAAAACGCAACACGTGCAAAAGGTCTGATTTCTAACCACAAAGAGACTATAACGCCTTGATAGGGCACAGAAGAACTAGGTCTAGACTGGAGAGCCATGTGCACCAGGGAGGGACGGAGAGAAACAAATCCATTAAGTGAATCCGCACATCTGAGTGAATTTTGACGGACTCAGCCACCGTGACTCGGCACCATGGGATATGGAGGCTTTTCCTTTATTTACTCAGCCTCATGCTCAAAACATGATCACACAGAAGTGGCACCGGCAGAACCAAGGAAATAGTTCAGAAGCGGTTGAGAGGGGGGAGGGGAAAGGCATACGAAGAAAAGAACAGCCAAATGAGGTATAAATATGTTCTGATATTGCAGCTTCTCCGTCCTTATGTGATCTAATCAATGGAAACACAGCATGAGGACAAACTAGGGGAACAGAGCGGAGAGGAGGGGAGATCAAAGACAGAGAAAAAGAGAGAACGAGTAGAATTCAGTAATGGAGTCGTCAAGAAGGAGATCCTGTAATCAGTTTAAAGACTGGGGGAGATAATTCAGCTAGACCTGCTCCACTGGAAAATGGGAACATGTCCATTAAGAGCCCAGAAATAGAACTGCTTTGTCCTCACCCTGTAGCTCACAGCAAAACGTCCTCTGACCATGCTGAGCACATCTGTCACTTAAGCGTTGTGTGTGTGCATGCATGCATGAATGAAGAGAGAGATCATAAGAAATGTAACCGGTGAGTAATCAGTGTGATCAGCTTCGCCATAGGAAAGCAGCTTTACATGCCGTGTGCTGCCTGGTATTAGCCTGATAATATCTGGCGCCTGAAACGGATTTTAACACCAATTCATCTTAAATGATCAAATGTTTACCTCTGTGAACGACAGGGATTCAATCTTTCCCGGTTTTCTCAATTCATGATTTGAACACATGGGGAAGAAGAAAGAGGCTACACTGCTGAGGCAAATATAGACATAAAAACCTTGTGGTTGTGTCAGAAAAAAAACAACAGTAATCACAGATACACCTTAATGTGCCCGAGTGAAACAAGACTCAGGCGAGGAACAAGCATTTTCACTTTAAAAGCTGTGCACTTTGGCAATCACAAAGCCCGGGTACCTGTTGCAAACGAAAGGATTTGGGCGTTTAATGCATTCCTGCCCTTTATTCACGGCACTGACGACTTTATCCAAGACGACACTCCACTTCAACAGTTTAAGGGTTTGGCAGGCCAAGCATATGAAAGACGCAGGTTTCTTTTAAAGCAGGGAGCAGAAATATAGTGCGCATTGGTGAGGGTGACTGAGCCAT